TTCTTAGATTGTAAATTTAGTGCTTCTTTTACTTTGTAGCATTATTGTTTATCTCTCTATTGTGAAATAGTCTCTTTAGAAAATGCCACGTAAAAAGGTTCAAAATCTTTCACCCTTAATGGACATAGGGAAACCTTCAACATCACGTAAAAAAAAAATACTCTTCTCTGGAAGAATGTAGGCATGTGAGAAATGAACAATTAAGAAAGAATAGAGAATTAGCCTATGTTAATAAGGTTGAAACAAAAAAATATACAAAGCCAAGTTCCCTAATTAGGATTCCAGAATCGAATCCCAGCATTAACTTACTGCATAGTCACCTGTTGAAGGAAAAAAATGCCAAAAAACCCTTACGTAAACAGGTCCAAAATGTTCCAGCTTCAATAGAAATAGGAGAGTCCTCAAAATCGAACAAACGAAAATACTCCTCTGTGGAAAAATGTGCACATGTAACACATCAACAGGTAAAAAAGAGCAAAAAATTTGCTTCTGCTGATAAGGTTTTGTCACGAAACAGTAGGCAGTCACTTCGCTTAATAGGACTCCAGAACTTAATTCTACTGTTGACCCTTTAGAATCTATAGCTATTTGTCCTGACCTGTTGCCTAATGAAGCAAACTGCAAATATTGTAATGCTAGGCGTATTTATTCAGAACCACCTGGATTTTGTTGCTCTTCAGGAGAAATAAAATTGACGGGTACTAAAATGCATCCTGAATTACTAAATTTATACTTAGGTGATTCCGATGATGCGACGCATTTTCAGGATTGTATTCGTAGTTATAATAACATGTTCGCATTCACATCTTTTGGAGCACATTGTGATAAAAATTTGGCAAAAAGGGATCATGGTATTTACACAGTTCGAGTTCAAGGGCAGCTTTACCATTTTATGCCTCACTTAGAACCACCAAACGGTCAAAAGCCTGAAAATCTTCAACTTTACTTTTACGATACAGAACATGAGATTTCAAATCGTTTGTCTATTGATGGCAAATTCAGAGTCTGTTATAAGAACGCTTCTTTCAATTTCGAACGATAACCCTTATGCTTTTTTCTTGCGAAACCTTAGTGGTAGTAACCTTGATGGAGCTAGAATTATTTTAAAAATAGACCCACTTTTGGATGAACGTGTTTTTAATAAACCCACTTCATCTCAAGTTGCCGGAATATGGTTAGAACCTAATGAAGAACCACTGCTTGCAAGTCAGCATATTCAAATTTACCCAAAAGAAAAAGATAGTAGGCCTAAAATTATTAGTTACTATACCCTCTTATTTTTCCTTATGGAGACCCTGGTTGGCACAGAAATATTTCTCGGTTGAACCCAAACAAAACATCATTGAGTGCTAATGAAATATGTAATGGTGAAGGCTTTTATCATATTGAAAATTTCACAAACCTTGAAAATTTCCTACAGGTTGAAGATGAACGTTCAATGAATAAAAAAAGGAAAAGAAAAAATGTTTCGTGCCGTGAATATTACTGTTATAAATTACAAATTAGAGACAATGATGAATCTTTTCTATTACATATTGGTAGGCTCTTACAACAATATGTTATAGATATGTACATTAAAATTGAAACATCAAGATTGAATTTTCTAGAGAACGATGAAATGCAAACTCATTTGCGTAATGAAGTATACTGTAATTTATTTGATAGTATGACACAAGGATGTAAAACAGGTACTGATGTAGGTAAATGTGTAATATTACCAACTTCTTTCATTGGAGGACCAAGAGATATGCGTAAAAGATACATGGATGCTATTGCTTTAGTTCAGCGTTATGGAAAACCAGATATTTTCTTTACAATAACTTGTAATCCAAACTGGCGTGAAATTAAAGCTCTATGTTTACCTACTGATGAGACACAAAATAGACCTGATTTAATAGTTAGAATATTTCAGGCAAAGCTTGCTGTCTTGAAAAAAGAATTATTCAGGAAGAAAATTTTTGGTGATATTGTTGCTTACACATACGTCATAGAGTATCAAAAGAGGGGTTTACCTCATGCTCATTTTTTACTTATTCTTAATCAATCATAAAAAATATATTCCTCAGAAGCAATTGACAGAATTGTTTGTGCTGAGATTCCTGACCCGAAAAACAATAAATATTTATTTAATTTGGTAAAAAACCACATGATGCATGGCCCTTGTGGCGAACTTAATAAAACATGCCCTTGCATGAAAGAAGGGATAGGATAAGTTTAAGTACCCTAAACAATTTTCAGAAACTACTGGATTTGGTATCAATTGTTACCCAATCTATCGTCGCAGAAATAATGGTCGTTATGTTAACATTAGAGATGCACAACTTGATAATGGTTGGGTTGTACCTTACAATGCTTATTTATTAGCCAAATTTGATTGTCATATAAACGTTGAGGTATGTTCAACTATTCTGGCCATAAAATATATTTTATCATTATCTATGCCTTGGCACCAAATGACGAAGAAATTACCATTAATGAAATAAAAGACTTTGTAAAAGCGAGATGGATTTCAGCACCTGAAGCAGTTTGGCGCATTTTTAAATTTGATCTTAATCATGTATATCCTTCTGTAATACCATTACCAGTTCATTTAGAGAATCAACAATCAGTGATATTTCCTGCCCATCAATCCCTAAGGAACATTACTAGCAATCCTACATTGAAGGTGACCATGTTAACTGAATTTTTTGCCATGAATGAACATAACAGTTACGCTAAGGAAAAAAACTGTCTCTATATAGAGTTTCCAGAATTTTTTGTTTGGTATAAAAGTTCAAAAAAATGGCAGCCACATAAACAACGTGATGTGATTGGCCGCATTTTACCTTGTCATCCTTCTGAAGGTGAAAGATTTTATCTCAGGTTATTACTACAATACATTAGAGGACCAACTTCTTTTACAAATTTAAGAACAATTAATGGGAAAACTTTTGGCACATTTAGAAAAGCAGCATACACTCTAGGATTAATGAAAGAAGATAATACAAGTGACAGGTGTATTCAAGAAGCTACAGCCTATTTAATGCCTGCAGCTTTAAGACAGTTATTTGCTTCTGTCCTTGTATTTTGTGACCCTAAAAACCCCAACGAATTATGGCTAAAATACAAAGATATACTTTCAGAAGATTTTAAACAAGATGCAAGTCTTAGTAGTGATCAGGTCACACAAAAGGTTTTAAACACGATAAGTTATTACCTTTATTTAATGTCTAAGAGACCTGAAAATTACTGTTTTATAACTAATAATTCACAAACGAATTTCAAAGATGATTTGGCAAAAGAGTTACGAGCTGAATTAGATGTAATTGTACCAGATGAAGATCTTTTAGCTGTTACACAACTAAATGCTGAACAAAAATTTGCTTATGATCGTATAATGTATCATGTGAACAACAACTTGCACAAAGCTTTTTTCATAGATGGCCCTGGAGGTACAAGGAAAACTTTTCTATACAGAGCATTGCTAGCAACAATTAGATCTAATAAACAGATTGCACTTGCTACTGCTACATCCGGTGTAGCAGCATCTTTACTTCCAGGAGGTCGTACATCGCATTCAAGGTTTAACATACCTCTCGATGATGATCGTTCTAAACCTTGTAGTGTTAGCAAACAAAGCACATTAGCTTACTTACTTAGGACAGCAAAACTAATCATTTGGGATAAAGCTACAATGGCAAAACGAACTTTAATTGAAAAATTCGATCAAATGCTCAGAGATATAATTAACCAAAATAAAATATTCGGTGAAAAAATTGTTGTTTTTGGTGGTGATTTTCGCCAAACATTACCGGTGGTTCTTAAAGGGACAAAAGATGACGTGATTGATGCTTCTATTGTTATGTCACCTTTATGGAGCAAGTTTGAGAAAATAAAACTAAAACACTATATGAGGGCTTTACTTGATCCTGCTTTTTCAAAATATTTACTGCGAATTGGTAATGGAGCTGAAAATACAAATGAAAAAGGAGAAATCAAAATTCCACCAAATATTAACATTTGCTTTGAAGGTGATGTTACATCACTTAACACTTTAGTAGATATTGTATTTCCAAATATTAATAATAACTCTGATAGTGCATGTTTTGTAAAACGAGCTATACCTACTACAAGAAATGAGTTTGTTCATGACATTAATAGTGTTTTGATTGATAGATTTCCAGGAGAAGCTACCATATATTTAAGTTGTGATGAATGTATGAGTTTTTGTAAATTGCCAAACCAAGAAGAGGTATTTCATTCTTTGAAACCAAAGGGATTTCCTTCTCATAAATTAGTATTGAAAAAAAATGCACCGATTATACTCCTTAGAAACATAAATCCTACTGAAGGGCTATGTAATGGTACACATCTTATTTGCAAAGAATTAAATCACAATGTTATCTATGCTGAAATATCAGTTGGTCCATACGTAGGAAAACCTGTATTCATTCCTCGAATAACATTTGAAGCCTCATAGGATGTTTCATCTATTCCAATTAAAAAGAAAACAATTCCCTATAAGATTATGTTTTGCAATGACAATAAACAAAGCACAGGGTCAAACTCTAGACTTTGTTGGTGTTTATTTGAAAGAGCCAGTATTTTCACATGGCCAACTTTATGTTGCATTATCAAGGGCTAGAACAATCGAACAACTGAAAATACTCATTAGACCACCAACACCATTGATACGAAATACAGGCTACACGAAAAACGTTGTTTATCAAGAAGTTCTAACTGCTGTTAACACGCAATGAGTGCTATCTTTTCAGCTACAACTATCTAAATCAGTAAGCTTCTACTATATTTATTACATTCATCATAATTTTACATGTCTTGACTTCCAAATCTTTTTCAAATACTTTTTAATTTTAAATTTGTACCACTTATATTGTATCATATTGATAATACTTGTCTCATCTATAATATTGACAACGTTACCAATAATTTTACATTTGTACCCTCAAAGATCATATCATTTTCACATTTAGTTTTGTGGGGTTGGAGTGATTAGAACCATGATGAAGAAGGTTTCTTTTAATTGGAAGTCCTGGTGGTGGTCTCCAAGCAAGCACAATTACTTGGTCCTGAAATTGGGAGTTTCGGCTCTTTTGTTGGGTCTAGTTTTTAGGTATTATTTACCTCGATCCGATGAATTTTCCGAGGTTTCAGACTTCCATTTTCAGGATACTGTCAGTTTAGCTAATGCACCTTCTGATTCTCCTCCTGTGTATATCAGTTCACTGGTAAATGATGGTGATCCGATCCCTTCAAATGGAACCCGAACTTCAGCTGTTGCTCCAGAATCGAGCATTTCCACAGAAGAGTCTGCAGCTAAGAATGGTGATATTGCTCCAGAATCGAGTAGTTCCAGAGAGGATTCTGATGCTAGATATGGTGAAGGAAAAGGTTAGTAATTTCCTTTTAACCTTGACTGCCTATTAATTAGTTTGTTTTTGGATTGCATTGTAGGACTATTAGGTGAATTGCTTCTGAAAAAAATAAAATGAAGAAGGGGCTATATATCAGGATTTTCAGAATGTAGAAATATGTGAGGTTCCCTTTACATTGGGGCGATCTATTGATGCTTGTATATTGATGAATGAAAACTTTATGCCCACTGCATTTGTTTGTTTTCACTAATATGTATCAAATCTTAGAACTGAGCTTTCTGTTTTGCCAAATGCAGCAAAAAATGAAGGAAAGTGCAATCTTTTCAATGGAGATTGGGTTCCTCATCCTGCAGGTCCTGTTTATACTAATGAGACTTGTGAACGGATTGAAGACCATCAAAATTGTATGAAAAATGGACGCCCAGATATCGGGTATCTTTATTGAAGGTGGAGTCCGAAAGGGTGCGAACTACCGCTGCTAAATCCTGAGGAATTTCTAGAATTAATGAGGAATAAAGCTTTGGCATTGATCGGTGATTCCATATCGCGCAACCATGTTCAGTCAATCATTTGCATTCTTCCTAAGGTAATATTTACTATTCTAGAACTGCTTATTTTACAGTGGTATTCTGCCAGTGCTGAGAGTGCTATAATCGTGTTTTTCAAATTCGTAGTACAGTTGGTACTTATGCTTGGCTGTTGTCCTTATTTTTGGTGAACTCATGAATTAGAGAAATGTGATCAGGGAGCTACATGCTGTACATCATGTAATTTTGCATCTTTTTTTATATTATTAGAACAGATTCCATGGTGAGATCTTTGTGATGATTTCAAAATTTGTAAAGTGTTTTTTTCCCTGTTGTCTTGCATTGGCTCCAAATTTTTGCGATTCTTGAAATCTTGCTCACTTGTCAGTTATATAATCCTTTTAGTTGCATATGACCCGGACTCTCCACTTTTGAGCTATAGTACACATGTCAAAGTATGGGTATTGCCAAATCGGGTGTGGTACTTTGGTGGAAAATCCCCATTTTTTTTCTAAAATGTTAACGGGTCTCATACACAGGTTCCACACCCGATCTGGCACCCTCACTAGAATCTGAGTAACATTGGCTGCATTGGTATCATTTTTCTTCTCAGAAAAATGTAGACTCATTGCAGATGTAAAGGTCTTCTGAAAGAATGTCTCGCAAAGAAAACCCGATTTAAAGTGCTGATGATTGGTAAGGGCCACCTCCATAGGATCTATCATTTAGTGGTGATGGTTGTCCTAAATTCCTGAATGATGTAATGGTAAGTTGGGAAAAATTCACTTCTCTGCATATAAACATACCGAACTTATTGTTTTTTTCTCATACCTTTTGCCATTTTTTACATATTAGGTTAAGGACTTAGCGAAACATTTACGCTGTGTTGGCACAGATGCTGTTGTTTTTTATTCGAAGAAGCCCCAAGCCAGGTAACTTTTATTGAACAAAATTGCTGAAAAGTTTTAACAATGAACTTGTTTTTAAAGATTCAGGATGTTCCATGTATTGGTGGAATAAATTACTGCTGCCAGATTTAAGTGTTTCCTATCTTATGCTCAGAGACTTGATTGGCCAAACTCAAAAGGAAAAGAGAATACTACTAACAAGGGATGCCAAGCTCTTAAGATATAACTATCTGATTGGAAATCAAATATACATGATAAAAAATCTTCTGAAAAATGACCAGCTGTGTCAGGTGAATTAATGACATTCTTGTTTTTTATTCAAAGATTTGTAAGAACTTGTACCTACATTTAAACAATCAAATAAAACAAGTCAACACTCTCAACCTTTTAATGGATTTTCTTAAGCAGTCTTTTATACAAGTTGTCTTCATGCTCTGTGATAGACGACAATATTTATATTTTGCAGATAATTGAAACTTTTGAGCTCAAAATATGTGAAGACCAGCTAATGTCAAGGTGCACCGAATGCAATGGAAAATTCATTTAGAAACTTCTTACAACTGAAGAGGCTGTTGAAGCGGCCAAGAGATTTCAGGTGATTCCTAACTGTTTGTTTAACAAGAATCTTGAATTCTGGTAGTGCATGGATTGCAATCAGCTATACTAGAAGGTACTTGATTTCTTTGAGCGTTTTTCCTATTCGGTCTATTTTTTTCCCACGAATTCTTTTGTTTTGATGTGGTCGTATTGTTTCCATCTCTGGGCGTATTGTTTTGATGTGGTCGTATTGTTATCCGGTGTATTTAAGGGTCATGTTGCTCCATCTTCCACTGATTCTTGATCATTTGAAAACATTATAATTGATTTTTATTGGGTAAGAATCATTGGGCCTTTACTGCTGTGATACTTACGTAAAGTTTATTTTACCCTTCTGACATTTCTTTCTTTTCACTGTTGTGTAGCATGGAAACCATTTAATTTCCAATTTTTTCGCTTTTTTTTTTCCTTATGATTATCATGCATTTTGGGAAATAAATGACGTCATATGTTTTGAGTAATCTCATTCAACATATTGATTTTTGCAAGGAATGGAACTGTACCCCAGAACCGGCAAGAACTTCGACATAAAAGTCTTTACTAACTACATATTCGGGATGATGTCCTGGGCAGTTCTTGCTTTGACATACTACATTAAACAAGTATCTTTTGATTGCAATTTCCGCCAGAATACCACAATTATTGTTGAGCCCTGAAATCCTTTTTTTTTTCTTTTTCTTTTAATGTTTGTGTTCCACCCAAGCATACTTAATTGTTTCTTTCGTTTAGCTTTGATGACAATGTTATTGGTGTTTGTATCATGCTATAATCTTAAATATCTAACACAGTGCTTCATGGAATGATGTCTTTTTGTTATTTGTTTGCAATTTTCCAGTATGAAATCCAAGGTAGAATTGCTGATTCAATTCTTATAAATACCATATTGATGTTGGTATATGTCACTAAGTTTTTCCGGTGGGAAGCTGGATAGTAAAATACTGTGAAGTCCCACACGTAAATACATTTTCAGTACGAGGTGATCATTACTTTGTCGTGAATATTCAGATCCCTATAAAGATCAGGTTAATTCTATTATATCCATTTATTCTTATACAACAAAAGTGCAATTTGTCTCTGAATTTGATTGTCTACAAATTTGATATCACCAGCCCCTACAGTTTTTTGTTTAAAGTATCAGAGATCTTCCCTTTTGTTTGTCCTTGTTTAATTTAAATACTTGGACATAAATCATGTCCTTCCTCTATAAATTTTATTTCACTTTCATTTGATACAGTCGGCTACTTGATAATCTCCGTGAAGATCTGAGTTTTGGGCCTTCCCAGTTTTCCTGTCTTTTTCCCCTAAATCTACTGCTTCTCTAATGCATGATTTCCCCCATGACTGTTACAACATTAAAAAAAAAACTACACAAAATTGATAGGAAAAAAAACAGCCAATAAAACTATTAAAAAAAAAAACTGAACACTGTTATGCCAAGAAAAAAAAAACTAAACTAAACTGAATGTTATTCCACATCCTCCATTGATGTAATATTAACTCTCATCATTGCATTTTCCCTATTTTGCGTCCCACTCTCAATCTCCTCATCTCTTGTCTCATTTCTTCTAATCTACCAAGTGACCCTCCATGTTTCAAAACTTCCTCCAGTACTAAATTCCATTCATCTCTGCACAGAAAACGATCAAATAATTCACGTATTTCCCACTGCATACCTGCATATTCTTCATGGAGACGTATGTGATCAGCTTGTAAACTAACTCTGTAAGGAATCAAGTTTACCGAAGAAAACTCTAACGTTCCATTTTCTTGTACCACTTCATGAACATCCATCTTTGCTAATTTTGTTTCACAAAATGTTCCAGCATAATTAAAAAAAAATTGGCACACAATCAACAAATATCAACTAACAACCAAGAAACACTCATGTTACACGTCAGTGAGATTACACACATTCTTTAAAGTTATTCTCCTTACACGTGTCTTTTGATATCATTACTTGGCACCCCCACAATCACATATATTAACCAAACTTTCCAAACTCACCACATACTCATCATACTCAGCACTACTAAATTCATGTATAAATTGATAAAACTTTACTCACCAATTTTCAGATATGGACACTGGGCTACTACTACACACTGTAAGCTGCACAACATCCAGCTCACCCCCTAGTAATTTATAATGTGTGTATCATAGTATTCATTAAATATTAATGTGAGATGAAAATATCAAATGAATTTTAGCTTTAAAAAATCACTAAATTGGTTAAGGGGGAATAATGAATATTTATAATTGAGGACCCTACAATTAACTTAATAATTATTTTGCTACAATTTGTTTTAAGTCATCTCAATTATTTAAATTGGAATTGTTTGTCAATTTCAGAGTTCAAACCTTCATCGAGTCCTCCGGAACAACTACATTCGTCAGTCCCCAAGTCAAACACCCCACTTCGGAAAAATCTCTCGCAATACTGATTGCAGCGATCATTTCTGCTTGATAATTAGTAATGGGGTTCTTCAAAATTCTGGTATCTTTTATCGTTTGCTGCTGTTTTGTGGCTTCTGCTAAGTTCGCTTCCGCAGATTCCTTTCTGAGTAAAGAAAGGTTGGTTGATGTTCCTGGCAAGTTTCTTAATATGGCGAAAAGACCGGATCTTTTGGAGTGGATGGTTCGTATTAGGAGGGCCATTCATGAAAACCCTGAACTTGGTTTTGAGGAATTTGAGACTAGTAAACTTATTAGAACTGAGCTTGATAAAATGGGAATTCCTTATAAGCACCCCGTGGCTGTTACTGGTGTGGTGGGCTATATTGGTAGCGGAAAGCCGCCTTTTGTTGCCCTCAGGGCAGATATGGATGCCCTAGCTATGCAGGTTTATCCACCAATCCTTCAAAATTTTTGTTTGCCTCTATATTAATTTGCTTATTCAATGAGACATTTCTTGTTAATCTTGAGTTTGAGGTTTTATTCACATGTCTGGGATGGTAAAATTTGTTGTTGATATGGAATTAGCTTTGAAGTTTTATTTGACTCTTGAATATGAAATTGAGTGAAATTTGTCTTGGGTTCTTGTGGATTCTAATCTGATGTTTGAATGCTGCAGGAAGGTGTTGAATGGGAACACAAAAGCAAAATTCCTGGAAAGATGCATGCTTGTGGACATGATGCTCATGTTGCCATGCTCCTTGGTGCTGCAAAGTTGCTTCAAGAACACCGAGATGAGCTACAGGTCCTGGTTCATCCTCCTTTTGCTTTATTAAGGCTGCATTAATATAATGCGTGGGTGTTATTTCCTTTCTTTTGCTTTACACTGGACTTTTGATTTTAGATAATTTATAATGGAACCTTCTTCATATTTCTATTTAGAATTAATTCGATAAGGTGCACTCTGTTACTGGAATAGCAGTAGTGTAACAACTGATCGGTTTACTGGTTGTGATTTTGAAAGAAATTGAATTTGATCGCTTGAATGATTTTCATAAAAGATTGCCATGTGCATTTTGTTGTTGTCTATAGATGAGAACTTATATTGGATTTGTTCCTTGATACAATCCTTTTTTAGATAAATGTCACTGATTCTATTCACCTATTTAGGGTACTGTTGTTCTGGTTTTTCAACCAGCTGAAGAAGGAGGAGGAGGAGCTAAGAAAATGCTAGATGCTGGCATACTGAAGAACGTTGATGCTATATTCGCGCTGCACGTCTCTTACAAATTTCCCATCGGAACAGTTGCTGCTAGACCAGGGCCTATTTTGGCGGCGAGTGGTTTCTTCGAAGCTGTAATTAAAGGAAAAGGTGGGCATGCAGCCCTTCCCCACACCAATATCGATCCTATTGTAGCAGCTTCTAACATAATTGTTAGTTTGCAACATCTCATTTCACGTGAAGCGGATCCCTTAGATTCACAGGTTGTATTCCTATCTATTTTAGTTTTGAGTTACTGTTTCATTGCAACTAAACAGGGACTTCTAGTGCCTATATTTATTAAAGTATCAAGACCAACTGTTGTGATTACTGCATGCATATTTTTTCAACTTCTGGTAACTGATCCAGAATAGTTGCGCAACATTTTACCACAATAACTATGCTTTCACCTCCATTCTTCAAGTGATCTATATTTGAGATTTTTCAGTCCACTCAAATGCATGGTCTTGGTCTTGCAGGTAGTAACAGTTGGAAAATTCGAAGGTGGTGCTGCATTCAATGTGATTCCTGATTTTGTTACAATAGGTGGAACATTCAGGGCGTTTTCAAAAGACAGTTTCACGCAACTTAAGAAAAGGATTGAAGAGGTAAGTGTGGTAGTAGTCCTGATCCCTGATACCTTTTATGAGAGACAATTAGAACCATCAATTTGCAGTAGCATTATTTCTTTCCAATTTGAAGGTTGATTTATTTTCCCTTTTGGGTTTGCCAAATGCATCTTATAGGTAATTTTGACACAAGCAGCAGTACAGAGATGCAATGCTACTGTTGACTTCAAATCAAATGAGAAGCCGTTTTACCCAGTAACTATAAATGATAATCAGTTGCATAGTCATTTCCAAAATGTAGCTGGGCAAATGCTGGGTGCTACAAACATTTTACAATATACACCCTCCATGGGAGCAGAAGACTTTGCCTTTTTCGCTGAATCAATTCCTGGGTTCTTTTATAGCATCGGAATGCAAAATGATACCAAGGAACAACTCAAGCCAGGGCATTCTCCGTATTTCAAGGTAAATGAAGATGTCTTCCAATATGGCGCTGCTCTGCATGCATCATTGGCTGCAACTTATCTCTTTGACCGCCATCCAAAACTATCTACTCAAGACAAAGTTATGCATGATGAGCTCTAAGGTCTTGGAAGTGGTGCTTCTTAACGTAAAATGTGCAGAACTAGTATATATATATATAGGTATTTTAGAAGAGCATATACCTGAGAATATTCTTTAGGGTTAGGACCCTTTTAAGGCCTCATTGGCCCATTAATGCAGTCCACAAATAGACAAGCCCACGAAAAATACATTTAGAATATTGAATGAACAACCAACATTTACTTGACCAAAGTGATAAGGTGTTTTCGTTTCTTTAAGCGAGGTCTCAGATTCGAGTCTTATGAATGGGAAGAGCAATGTTGAGAGAGCTTTTCCTCTGAAAGGAAATTGACCTCGACTCGGTACGGATTAGTGTGAGTGCAATGCATTTGGGACATCGTGCGCAGCATGAAAAAAAAATTGAATGAACAACAATAATCGAAGCACATATTTTGTTTAGTTTTCAGAATGCTGTCTTAATTTTTCTGGCGGCGGAAGTCTTAGTTTTGGAGCTTGGCTACTTCCGATATTATAGGGTGATCGATACACGCTATGTTATGATCCTGAACCTTAATTTGTCTCTTTATTATACACAAACACACCAAAAAATAAAAAAAAAAAATTGCTCTCTTAACTTGTTTATTAATTTATTTTATATATATATATAAGGGAAGCCAGAGGCTTAGGTACAAAAGTCCCTAAATACGAGGGAAGTCGGATAGCTTATCTGAGACTAACTGATCTAACATACTAGACAGGGATATTGACAAAATATGTCTACCTGCTGGGCATAAAGCCAAATTTGGCTAAAACGTCGGCCACCTTATTTCGAAGGAGACCTGTCTGACCTACGGTTACATGCCAGTTGAGTTTAAGGAGATTTCTAATTCTGCTGAACACATTACTGGTGATAGACAAAGAATCCTCCTTAGGCAGAGATTCAACAGCCTCCAAGGAGTTTAGTTCTAAGTGAACTTTTCGAAAACCTAAGCCCCACGCAATTTGGAGACCATGAAACGCCACCCCGTATTCAGCTTCCAGATTGCAGCAGTTGCCAATATTTGCCGCGTATCCAATGATCTAGTCTCCTTCATTGTTTCTGATGACTCCTCCGGCTGCCAATTTGTAAGAGGGCAAAGCAGTGGCACCGTCAGAATTAATTTTGACCCAATTAGGAGAGGGCGGATTCCATGAGGGTTGCGCGGTAGCCAGATGGCTCTCCAAATCATGTGCAAAAATCTGGTTAGAGCCAATCACTTCTTTGACGAAAGCTTGAGAGGCAAAACGAAGTGAAGCTTGAGACACTGTTTCCTCGCCAAATATTTCCTTGTTCCTAGCATTCCAAAGTTTCCAGCAGACTACACCAAACCAAAGTGCCCATGTGTGTCGTTCCTGCAAACCAACAGAGTTAAGGTTAGATTAGAGCCATAGTTAGAAGTCATTAACATACCAGAAATCTCTTCCAAGTGACGGATTAATGCTTCTCCAGAGTTCTTTGCTCCTGAAGAAATCTTTGAAAATGTGGAACGATATTTCTTCTCCCCCACACATGTGGCAGCTGCTGTCTTCCGAGATGCGTCTCCATTTTCTTTCGACGTTTGAAAGTAGGACTTCTCTCATTAGTAGCCATAAAAAGGTTTTGATCCTTTCCAGACCTTTCCACCACCAAATCAGACTCCATCGCTTCTCTTCGTCATCCCATCGATTTTCAGCCAAGGCCTGATATGCTGAAATGGTGGAAAATTGTCCCGTGTTTGTGAATTTCCACAGAGGACGATCAGGTCCCAGCAGAGGAGAGGGGGGGTGGTACAGCTCTGGTTTTTTCTAGGATATTTGGAGGTAGCAACATGTTTAGCTTGTTCCAGTCCCAATCTCCGCGATCATCAATAAAGTCTGCAACTTTTGCACTTGAGTCTGAAGGAGGGATGATTTGCTTAGCATGAAGGGACAGTGGTCCATCAGCATTGAGCCAGTTGTCAATCCAGAAATTGATTATAGTACCATCATTCACCACCCATCTGATGGCCTTTAGAGCTTCAGGCCACAATTTAGAGATTTGTTTCCAAAAAATAGAAGCCTTTGTCCTTGAAATATCAGATGGTAGTGCATCTAGAGGCAATTCATATTTTGCTTTCAGAATGCTCTTCCATACTGTATTTTCCTCTGAAATCAGTCCCCATGTGAACTTTAAAAGGAGCGCCATATTGAATTCTCATATTTTCCTCAACCCTAGGCCACCTCTACTTTTTGGCTGGCAGATTGAATCCCATTTAACTAAGTGCATTTTTTTCTCCTCCGCCCTGCTACCCCATAGAAACTCTCTGGTTGTCTTGTCAAATTCATAATGTGAGTCTGCCTGCCATCGATATTCGTCGGGGGTTCCATTGCCTTACTCTCTGTTGTGCTTTCGTCACCCAGTCGCAGTAGGTTTCTTTTTTCACTCTCCCATGGATGATAAGAGTGCCCAAGTATTTCCCTAAATTATTGACTCTTCGTATGCCACATATACTGCTTAATCTCTCAGCTTGATGAAGAGCTATGTTTGGAGAAACATAAAGTACTGATTCGTCTGAGCTTACTGTTTGCCCAGATGCTAGACAGAATTCTTGTAAAGTCTTCTCGATAACCCTCAATTGATCTTCGCTAGCTTTAACAAACAAGGTCAGGTCATCAACAAAAAAGAAGGTGCGATAATGGTACCTTTTCGCGCCCAAATATTCGAGGTTTCCAGCTTCCCGTTCGGACTTCGATGTTGATGGCTTGAGAAAGACGCTCCATGGCTAGTACAAATAGATAGGGGGAGATCGGATCTCCTTGACGCACTTCGCAGTTAGGTTTAAATTCGTCTCCTACAATACCTTCCCAAAGGATTTGAGTTGAGCCCGAGTGGAGTGAGCTCATAATCACTTCTTGCAGTGTACAAGAGATGGCTGCATCTTGAATTGTAGCTTCCAAAAATTCCCAGCTGATTTTGTCAAAAGCCTTAGCCAAATCAATCTTGACCGCCACACATCCTTTACTTCCTTTGGCTGCCTTCATTGTATCTATGGCTTCTTGTGCTATAACAATATTGTGGACGATACTCCTGCCTTGTATAAAACTTGATTGTGTAGGCAGTACTAGTGTTGGCATTACTATTTCAGCTGATTTGCAACCACCTTAGAAATGATCTTCGCAGAGACATTAATCGAACTAATCGGCCTGAGATTCTGAAATCTTTCCGGGTTCTCCACCTTAGGAATTAGAACTACTAAGGCTTTGTTAATTCTCTGATCTATCTGTCCCGTCTCAAAAGCATCTTTGACTAGCTTACAGATGGAGTTTCTGATGATATCCCAGTTGTGCTGAAAAAAACTTGCACTGTAGCCATCAATCCCTACTGTTTTGAACTTGCTCATTTCGAACACCGCCTCTTTAACTTCTACATCTTGTACTTCCCTGCCTAAGTGTCCGACCGTAGGCTCTAGTAATGGTGGGAAATGTTCCCTTACAGCATATTGAGCATAAGCAGTAGTAGGCCTTGTGTAGACCTTCTTGAAAAATGCAGTAGCTTCCTCACTTATTTTTTTAGGTTCTGTACACCATGAACCATCCTATAACTGGATTGCTACAATTGCCGCCTTTTGCTTCCTGTTTCTGAATGTAGCGTGGAAGCGTTTTGTGTTGCGGTCTCCTTGTGCCAACCAGATCGCCTTTGAATTCTGCGCCCTTAAGAGCTCTTCTTGGGTGACAATGACTTCATATTCCTCCCTGAGAGGTTTTTCCAGCTTGATAAGGTTTTCTGAATGATGAGTTGTCGACGCTTTTTGCAACCCTCCAAGCCGACCTAGAAAACCTATTTTTTCTCTTATTTATGTCACCAAATACGTTGTATTTCCAGTCATCCATTTTCTCAGTAAGATCATGAAGGGCGTCTGCCAAATCCTTGTTTGGATTCCAGTTGTTCACTAGCCATTCTTTCCACTGGTCGTGAGCTTCCCATGCCATAGGTATTTGAAGAACTTCTTGTCATGCGGTATGTTGTTCTTAATCTTTAAGCTAATCAAAAGGGCAGAGTGGTCTGATGCTGCTCTAGGAATGTGTTTAACCGATGTTTCCAGGAAAAAGTTGTCCCATTTATCGTTAACAAGGGCCCTGTCTATTCGTTCATGGACTAGTTTCCACGTGAATCTGGTGCCTTCAAAACCCAAATCGATCATCTGTCTCTTTCCTACCCAGTACTTAAATCTTCGACAGCCCATCGATTTTTTACCCCCCACTTTGTCTGCTACATCTGTAAAAGCATTAAAGTCTCCGAAAGCTATCCATGGAGATGTCACATACCTGCAACAAGATCCAATGTGTTCCACAGTATTTGGCTGGTAAGCCTTTGGAGGTTTCCATATACTGCAGTCAACAAACAAGAGCAATTATTCTGAAAATAAACCCTAGTGTGTATACACTGCCAGTTATTTTGGAGAATTTCTATACTAACAGAGTCACGCCACATTAACCATATTCCACCGGCAAAACCAACCGATTCAGTTCTATGAGAATTTTCCATTCCAAGTTCTTTAAGTATGCCAGTAGCTTTAGGGCCATTTATACGGGGTTCAAACACAGCTACAATTTGTGGTTTGTGTTGTCTAATTTTCTGCTTGAGCATTGAAATTGTTTCTGGATTGCCTATTCCACGATAATTCCAAGCAAAAATCTGTATATCCATTAAATAAGTTGAAAGGGTTGGAACTTACTAACCGGCGTCCGGCAGTTGTTCCAGGTCGGCATTGGACCAGTGGTCGTCGACGGCCACTCTCTGTTGGTCCTTTACCATATCGTCTGCTGACACCTCAGTGATTTCCTCGGATGCTTCAATGTGGTCAGGAGGTTTATCACTTTTTCTCAGTTGAATTTTCAATCTGGGATTGAGGTGGAATGCATGCAATTGATATGCTTATATGTTACCTATTTATTATATCTCTAATTTGTGATTTTTGCAATATATTTTGAGTACAAATATGCTATTTATATGATTTTATATTTATTTGTAGGAATTGTACTCAAAAGGAGGAATTGTTGAAATTGTGGGCTAAAATAAAGATAAAAGTAACTCAAGGGGAGAATTGAAGATTTGATAAATTGACAAGGAAGAAATTAAAGTACTTGAAAAATTGGAGGATTAAACAAGCAATACTAGAATTTTTGGTTTTTGGAAATTGGGCGAACAACGATGATGGTTGTGTGGTTGATTTGGGATTGGAATTGGGTAAGAATTTTAATCCCAATATTATTTGGGAAACAAGTTTTCTTCCTCTCCAAGAAGTATAGTTTTGACGGAAGCCTATAAAAGGAAGATTAGGGATTTATTTTTACAACAGGACTGTACCGAACTTGACCGAAACCCTACGTCCTCTGCCGCATCACCATTCTTGCCGCTGCAACTTCTCACCACTTCAAACCGGCAGCCACCTTTCCCCCATGCACCACCGTCCTCCGCCGCACGCACCACCGAAAACAACCCCCTTTGAAGCCGAGAACTTGACCGAACCTTCACCTCCATCGGCGGCAGCTTTCTCCTCTTCACCATCGCCAGCTCCATCATCATCCTTGATCACCTCCACCGAACCACCGAAGCAGCCAGCCCTTCCTTGCCTTCATCATCCACGCACATCAGCCTCCACTCCCATCATCACCGGCAGCCACCATCTCTACCCCTCTCTTCCAGCTCCAGTTTCATCACCATCACCGCCTCGCAGCAAACCAGCTCCATCCTCTTCAATCCCCTAAACCAACAGGCGGCTTCTCCTCCTTGACCACATGCAGCAGCCGCAAAGCTAGCAACCGCCGGGGAGTTTTTCGGCGGCATTGTTCTTCATCCGGGTGTTTTGTTTTAATTATTTAATTCAAATTTTTAGGATTATGTCTCTAAATATTGTTGAATTATTTTTGATAATGTTTAGTGGCTAAATTCTTTTAATCTAGGGCTTGGGTGTAGCCACCGAATTTATTTGGTTTATTTGGTTCATTATTATTTGATTTTTCCATTAATTAATATTTGTTATTCTTGTTTTAATACGTCTAAGTAATTAGCCACTATTTGCATGTGTGAAAATATTAATCGAAGTAGCGAGAGTGGAAGATTAGTATTAGTTCGTAGAAATAATAGAATTAGGGTGTATGCTACGAGAGTAAGATTATAACCTTTGTAATATTTGATTCTTAATGATCTTAATGTGCTTTTGTTAATTCCTATAGTCATGAGAGTAGACATAGGTAGACATAGGGTTAATTTAAGTAAGAGAATTATATCACGACAGTGAATAGTTCTTAAATAGGTGAATCGTTGTGAGATTAATGAAAGTCCAAAGTCACATATTTATAGATTAAATTAAACTGAATAGTCGGTTGGTGAACTCTTTGTCCTAGGTTTTTCTTTTACGTATTTATATCTTTAATTAATTGTAATTGATAGTTTTAGGTTTAGATTAGTTTAAATTGATAAATTGTTAATCTAAATAATAATAAGAAATAATTTTAACCGGTATTTGGTAACCTTCTCTGTGAGATTAACCCTACTTTTTGCTTTATTGCTAGTAATTGTATTAAATAGGTAATTAATTATTTGACCAGTGTGACGACGACTTGTCAGCAATGAGTCAAGAGGTTTTTCAGTGATCGGTGATTAACAGTGTATTTCTGAAATGGAGTTCTCGGACATTGAGGTTTGGTTATATGATGAGGATTGACGGGGGTTGGGGTGGGGAATGTTAATTATAGAGTGCTTTGTGGTTTGACCTGTGGCGTTCATTCCGTCGACGTTTTGATTTGCCGTCGGCAAGTCGGTATTTTGCTTTGGGAAAGACGATGTTTCTGGTGGTGTGGATGGGTTTTGGGTGTGTGCTGAAGGTGCTGTTGGTTTTGGCAGAACAGTGGGGGATGTGGGTTTTTGTGGTTGACAAGGATTTGTTGATTGAGTGCTTGATTCTTGTTGGGTCGGTTTCTTTGTCCAAGTTTTTCTTGGGCTGCAATCTCGGACTTCCTCTTGGTGGCTTTGCTGTTTGGGCCTCGATTCCCCCTCGTTGGTGCTTCTGGGCTGATTCATGAAGAGAAAGAATCAGATGAATTAGCAGTAAACTGAATATTGGGGGGAGGACTTACCTTCCAGGTTTTTCCATTGTCCATTGGTTCTTGGGCTAGCCCGGCTAGTGGTGCAAACGGGTTTGTGGTGGCCTGTGCTCCTTTGTGGGCTTTCCATGGGGTTTGGGTTTGGCAGTTGATGTTTGCGGGTTGTTACTTCCCATTCTCCTGCCCCTTTTAAGAGCGACTCCACTCGCTCATGTTTGGGCGCTGTTTTTGCTACATTGGTAACCGTGTCGCTTTCTCCCAATTTTCGTCGGCGTTTGAGAAAAGGATAGCCCAGTCTGATGATTTGATGTTGACATTGACGTTGTACCGTTGGGGTTGGCTAACGGGTCTCCGGCATGGGTTTCCGATGGGGTCGAGAGTTCCGGTGGGTTTGACGGCGTTTCTTTGCATTCTTCCTGGATGTGCCCATATTTTCCACAGGAATAGCAGATTCTTCGGAGATCTTCATATTCTACCGTAAAGACCTTGCCGTCAACCTTGACCTTTTCGATCAGAGATTTGGTTAAGTCTAATTCCACTGCCATACGAGCGTATCTGCCTCTCTCTACTTATAGGGTGTTTGAATCTGCTTTCAAGTATTTTCCAATTGGCTTTGCAATGTCTCTGAGGAAATCTTCTTGGAAGTAATGGACAGGCAAACCTAGGATTCGGATCCATGCTGCGACTGCCGATATGTTCTCCGATTTTGAGTCGAAATTGATGGTCCAAGGAAGAACGCTTGGGAGAGCATTGTAATAATTCTCTTCGTGTGTGAGTCTGATAATGTGGTAACCGTCAATTGAATCGACAAGGTTGATTCTGCCCTTTGGTTTCCCCAGAGTCGAAATTCTTTTTTCGATAGCTAAGAAACTGAAATTCCTTCCCAATGGTCGAACCACGAGAGAATATGTCATTGCATATTCAATTTTCTTCTTGATACGGTCTGCAAAGCTAATTGCAGGCATTCCATCTTTAATGGTATAAGTCACATCTCCTTGTCCTGTTTTGACCGTGTTATGGTGAAAGCCGTTATTGCCTTGGTGGTGTCCTTGAAGGAGGGAGTCCTTGAATGAAGGAGCAGAGCCGCTTGAGGGCCCATTTTCGTTGCCAGCAGGGGGTTCTCCAATTGGGGCTGTTGGCATTTCTGACAATTCGTCTCTGTTTCTTACTTTCTTGGTCGCCGGATTATCGGTGTCATGGTCCATAGGGACCGGTTCTCCTGGCTCCATCGAGGAGCAGGGAAGGAGGAAGCCAGTGTTGGTTACAATCGGTTTACAGAGGGGAAACTTTTTTTTTTGAAATTTGAAGAATTAGTATCCCGTAACTTGTTTATTTTTGTATACTTACAGAGGAAGGAAGGAGGAAGCCGGTGTTGGGTTCAATTATTGGCCTATCTTGTATATTTACGTAAAATCAGAAGTACAAAAAATAAACAAAATGGCCTATCTTGTATATTCTTTTTTATTTTTTTCACTTTCGATTTTATAAGTATACAAAATGGGTCATTAGCTGAACCCAATGGTCGATTATCAGCCTCATGAAATCCAAGCAAAAAGCCTATTTTGAAAAGCCCTGTCAAGATAGTTTTCCTTGCAAATCAAAAGTTCTTTTTGCTAAGCAAAGGAGTTGATGTGAAAAGAACTCATCCACCATTAATTAAGATCATGGTTCGAACTTGGTCATATTTATATTACCACCAACTGGATTTAGATTTAGAGAAGAACATAGATCTGGAATGAGAATTGAGAATCAGAATCCGAAATTAGGGAGTTAGGTTTTTAGAGATTAGGAACGGGGAGAGAATTCATAAATTTAGAATAAAAATTTGATTGTATTTTCATTCAGTAACTAGTCCTCAGAACGCACGACCAGTTCGTAATTTATAGTTAAAATAATAAATAATCGTAATAAATATTTTTTTATTATAAATAACTAATAATGTTGCTATTAACATCATTATTCTCTGTTGGTCTTCGAGAAGTTCCATTACAGTGAATATTGGTTGGAATACTTATATCTTGACATGTAATCGTGTATTTCTATATAATTGTGTGTTTAAGATAGTGTTATTTCAAATCATTTTACTTTATCAAATTGACAGCTTTTTTTTAAAAAAAGATACTGGTATTCAAATTGATGGGAGGTGGTTCGAGAAATTTGTTAGTGAATATTAGTTAAGTTTTTCTTTTAATGCGTAAAAGTTAACGAAAAAAAGTATAGAAATAACTTATTTTTATTGTATTTTATATTGGACAGTCGAACTCGAATGATAATTGCATAGTCTTTATAAATAAAACGAAAGGACATAGATGAAATCAATAAGAAGTTTTTATATTCCAACCTTTTGGAAGTTAAATTTAAAAGGATGTTTTTAATTTTGAAAGTTCACATAACATTTTTTTTTTATGAAATAGCACTTATATAAACCATTGGAATTGTTTTCAAATAATCGATGTCAATAAAAATAATTGGTGTGTATCCTACGCAAATTATGTAATTTTCATTATAAAATGGAAGTGTTTCACCCCACGAAGCAATTTCGTCATCGTGGAAAAAAGTATTGACAAATTTCCTAATAAAAAAACAGAGGCAAAAATATTCTTTCAGTACTTGAAAAAAAAATTAGAAGAAAATAAATAAATAGTTAGTAATTTCCATAACCATATTGAAATGAAATGTTATCATTGTGCTGTCTAATTATTTTTTCATCGCAACCCATAAAGAAGAGAAAAAAATGAAACAGAAGCAAAATGTTTAATTTTCTTTTCCAGTTTATGTCCTACTCCACATAAGATTTACATACTGAATGTATACTAATATTCACAGAATAAAAATAATGTCACCTAATGCAATAAGAAGAAATACAGTCATAAAGCGTAGACGCACTTTGGTTAAGAAAGTTCCAAATCATTGTTGTACTCATTAGTAAAATTAGAAATCATTCATATTACTTTGACACTTGTTATTAGCTCTCTCCCACAAACAAATTGCTGAAAAAATCTTCTGCTGGCTTGATGATTTTGAAAAAGTTCTATACCATCTGGAAAAGACCTTTGTAAATCTGACTACTACCACCTTTTTAAGTCATATTCTCTGACATGAAATAAAGAAACTCATTTCAAATCGTACTGTTCGTAAACAGGACTAACAACGGCTAAAGATTTCTGGCTTGGTAACTCCTATATTCAATGCATCACAGATCTCCTCGACCGGAGAATCTGTAGATACTTTTTGTTCCTGACAAGAACATTGCGAAATAGGGCCCATCTCGCCTTTGCTTCAGGCTTTTTCTGGTTTCAGAGTCACCTACTACACCACCACTTAATGATAACTGTGAAGAACTGCATGCAAAAATGCATCTGAAAGCTCAGATTATTATTCATGATTTCTTTCCTCTCTTTTTCAAATTCCTTAGCATCAAAACATTGTAAATTGCAGCCTACTGAAGGTTCTGCTTCCTTATAAAACAATATCTTGCCATCAATGGGGTAATTTCATCCCAAAAGTCACATAGGTTTCTAAAAGTTGATAAAAAGAAAGATATCTTATATGGAAAATGCAAGCTTTACGACATCCGCTGTATCAAAATTTATCCCCAATGTCAATGGTAAAATAAAAGAGATTTCTTTGGCTCAATGACAACTATCAAACATAATGGAAATAGCACAAAAGACCTACTAAAAGATCCTAAAATGGCCAACCTCAAGATGGCTCTGGTTGCGAATGAAGACTTTCAGCAAAGTTTACGTACTCAGAACACCAATGTCAATGGCAAGCAGAAGGTAATGTTTGCCTTGACTTCGGTCGAAGGTATTGGTCGTCAATTTGCTAACATTGTCTGCAAAAAGGTTGATGTCGACACAAACAAAAGACCTTGTGAGCTATCTGCTGTTGAGATTGACAATAGCAGTATAAAGTAAAAGTGCAACAAAGAAGCAAATTTGGAATTACGAAAATAGCTCTCTTCATGAACTCAAGAAAAACCTCTAGTCAGAATCTAAAACGGTTGTATTTAGTTAAAAGAATAATGCAGCCAACAAGAATGTATCACCTGAATCTGCTCTGGATCTTTGCTGACGAATAATGTATCTGCAACAAAATTAATAATGGCTCCTTCCTTTTTGCTCTCAGATGTAATTATCAGTATCACCATAGCTCCAAATGTGACATCCCCAAAAATACACCAGCCAGCTTGACAATGACTAAGGTGGTATGGGAAACATTTGGGGCTATGGTGAGTGAACAGAGCTTTAGTGTACTAGCTAGGTTCAGGGTTCGAGCTCTGGTTTGTAACTTATCGTTTTGCACTCTAGTAAATGTTTGTTTTCTGTTCTATTTTTTACATACGTCTACGTGAATATGGATCCAAGATTTTTTTTTTTTTTTTTGGTGAACTCCACCAAAAATAGGTAAACCCATTCCCACTGTAATAGTTTGCAAACCATAGTGGAAGGTAAACTACACTAGGCAAGCCTGGAATGACAAGTTCGGGTGCGGAATCGAGGCTTCATGAGTGGGTTCGCCATAACAAGCTCTCTAGAGGTGCCAGTAGGTAATGTTAGAGACTTAGAGCCATCCCCTCACTCTTATTGGAATGGGGGTTTGAACTCATGATCTCCTCTTGAGGCCAATGGTAATTTTACCACTGAACCAACAAGAATCAAATCTCATACATACATCCATGTGTATGGGATCAGGAGCGATTAACTTATGCTGTTGTTACATACATCCATGTGTTTTCTGCCTTTCATGATTGGACCGGAAAAATAAAATAACAATTGCATGGAGCGAACAGCTGACGTAATTTGAATCACTTATAAAACGGCTTGATGATTTAGATTTTGCTTGGATCAATCTCAACTTAAATAAATTGACAATCCATCAGATTATCTCGACATGTAAAATGGCTTAGTGCGACAGTCTTTTTGGTCTTATTTTCCTGATGAAAACAGGAGAGAAACACAATGGAAAATCATCATTCGACAGATTGGTCACCGGCTGAATTAGATATACCGTAGCAACAAATCACGAAAAGTTGGATTTTTCAATCAAGTTTTGCTTGTGTTTACCACATTATGCTTATTTTCTGTCCAAACTATGTTGATTGTCACATGCTCACAGACTCACAGTATTATACATTTATTAGTTCTTCCGTCTCAAAATAATTATTTTATTTATTATTTTTTTAAAAAAAAACACATCTGAACTTCTTCTTTTTTTTTTTTTTGAATAATCTGAACTACCTTTTGGTATAGAAGAATTCTTCTACCAAGAAAATGAAAAACATCAAAAAGGAAAAAAAAGCGGGCATATTTTTCTTGTATTCGTATTATTTGTTGCAATTAACATGACATGCATTCTTCTTTTTTAATATAGATGATAGAGTTCTAGATTATATTACTACTGAATTTTCTTTAAACTTTTGAAATATGCAAAAGGATTCAGAACTTCAGCTTATTAATGAATAGAGGTCCAAAAATATCATTTTGAGAAAACTTGAAAATTAAACGAGTGATAGACCAGTATTGAATTTACATGCGAAAAATTATTAAACGTACCAAGGGCTAATTTTTTTTTTTAACGAATATGTCGAGATTTTGTTAAAGAGAACAAGTTTACAACACAGGTTAAAAGTTAGGTTATGCACCTTTTCAACAACTACACGATCTACTTTAGTAAAATAGCAAAAAAACATTTTACCAAAATCTATTATTTCCTGCCACAATGCTTGAAGTTTGGGTGGCCAAAAGGATTCTTTGTGCAAAGAAAATTGAGCTTCACAATCTGTGCAGATAAGAAGTGAAGTCAATCTAAACCTCCATGCCTCAACAGCTCCTTTGCCCGCACGATACCCTTGAAGCCCAAGAAGCATTCCCGTGCCAATCAGTATCAAGAAAACTCTTGGAATGACAATACTTGCATAGAAAAATTTTGGGCCAAAGGAGACTTTGGCTGACTACTGATCTTCCACGCAAGCTTTGCCAATATAGCCTGATTGAACTATTTCACGGATCTGAGATCAAGCCACCCTTGATATAAAGATATAATTTTATTCCAAACTTGCCAGTGAACGCCTTTGTCCTCATTACAAGAAAACAATCAATTAGCCACGGAATTAAACACGAAAAGTTTGACCGTGGCTAAATAACTACAATATACCCACGAATTACCCACAAAAAATACATTTAAAATTTTATTCACAACATAAACACGGAATAACCAGGACATT